AAGCACACCTAGATAGACATAACGACTTAACCTAACCCGCACGCTATAAGGGCTGAGACGTTCTAGGAATTGATAATTGCCTTGCTGTTGTCAAAATTCCTAAGGAGCCACTATTTGCCATCCTCTGAAGAAGGCAGGGAATTATGTCTTTTGTTTTTAAACAGTTGAATTTTTATTGAAAAAATACAGCAAATCGGGCTTTCTTACATTACATGCTGTGAAAAAGTATTATGTCTTTCCTAGCTTTCTCTTCGGGAACATGGTTCATGGTAGCACAGATGCCTAGGCAGTGATGCAAAACTTTTCTGAATACTCATGTTAGATCTGATTGATGTAGGGTAAAAAGGCGCAGTTCGTTCCAGATTATCAAAACTCAACAATGTTAATTTTGAATTGAATTATGAGAATTAAATGTACATAAGGAGCATAACCCACCTGTCCAGCGTCAAGGAGTATCGGGCACTAATTGGGCTATATCTGATTCATCTTCTTTGATTTCAAAACGAAACAATCGAAATTTTCGTCTTTCACCCTCTTTTAATGGTTCTTTTGGAAAGGTGAGCAATTCAGATATGTGGTTCACAGGTTTATTTTTCAGTATCCCACGAATAATTGCAGGTAAATAAGTGAATAAATTTGATTTAAATCTTTCGACTGAACTTTGATCACCTGCCTTAAATGGCGGCGAACTGAGCCTATGATATTTTGTCATCGACACACGTTCTCTGATTATATCTAAACATACAGCAATTATTATTTTTTGAAAATACAAAGTTAGTTTTGGAGTAATTTTCTGTTAAGCTTTTGCCGTTCAAAAGACACTGACGGTTGGAGAAGGTATCGACGAACGGCCGTTCATTCTGAGATTTTGGAACAGCCGTTCTATTATTTGTTCCTAAAGGTTTTAAAAATGGGACAGGAGTCACTCTTTAGTGTCAAATTTAAATTTGTATTTTGTAATACCTTTTCCAACTGAAGTTTCTGACAAAAACTAAACTTCTAATAGATTGCATGGATGAAAATGATCCACGCATTTCCACTTTTGCGCATGACACTTGCAGTTTATTTAGTCTTGCAGAGAGCTAGATATATTTTTCAAGTTATTGTATGCTAAATCAATTCAAGAACCGAAGATCAATGCTCAGGCTTCCTGACCTGGTGCTTAAACTTAAAATCCTCATTAGAAACCAAAGATGTGCAAATACAATTATATAATGTAAAGTTCAAAACGATATGAAGGTTATATTTCAGAATTGATATTTTATAATTACTGTTTAGAAGTTCAAAACTTTCCAAAAGAGCGGAAATAAACTACAAACACGTAAAGTTGAGCTGAACTTTACAAAGCTCGGTTTGAGAACTCTTCTCAAAACTCAGAATTTCAAGATTCTGAACTTTACATACATGTGAAGTTCACGTTTACATGTTACTTTGAGCTTTGCTTATGCGCTGTTTAAAAGTTTGCTCGTGGATTAGTGAAATCGTGATCTGTCGGTTATCTAAAACAAAGCGCTATCCTGAAATATTTAAAATGTTCATTGTATGATATAAAAGGATCTGAGAGGCTGTCTCTGAAATTAATATTAAATATAAAAGTAAAAAATAAACCTTTCTGACTGTAAGAGTTTATGAAACAAGTCAAGTGTGTTTGTTTAACGTGACAAAAACAAAGGAAGGATATTTAGCGTCACGATGCGCAACTTACAGTTGCTTAAGTAGTCCCCAGCCAAAGGTGATAAACAGCTTAAAAGTCTCAAACCGAGCTGTAACGCTTAATTCCACATGTATATAGAGCTCAGTTTCTTTCTGTGCTGTTATTAGTTTTCAAGCGAGTAAAGGTACTCTCCTATGCGGTTTTTTGGTGAATTATTTGCGTGTAGGATAGGACTTAGTGGAATTCAAAATTGCGCATTCCCGCTGGGTAGCATGAATTTCAAGTTCTATAATTCTGTAGTCGTATGGATCATGTCGTCTTGAACCTTACATCTCATAACTGTAATCGTGCAGTTCTCTCAAATCCTGACCTGTTAGAAAGGCAACTTGATATAGGCCATATTTACGGAATGGATTTAGGTCTTCGTCAAGTATAATAGTGACTACACGATTTCTGTTTAATGGGTGAGGTCTCAGCAAACTTAATGCAAATTGAACCAGTGTTTGGGGTGATTCAGGCGAATAAGCGTGAAGATTCGACGAAAAATCATAAACGTTCATTGCGTATTTAGTTGCTAAAATAGAAAGAAGTGTCGTAAACAAGAGTCAACGAGAGGTGATGGATATTAACCAATAAAATTGACATAATGTGGTTTCTCGATATCAAGTGGAAATATGCCTGTTACATAGTGATTCTGCGAATATTCAAACGGAGGAAGCTCCATTTTTACCCAGTTTTCATATCTGTATGTCATTATATCTAAACATTCATAAACATCTAAATGAGGTTTCGTGTTCCGCTGATGAATGTTACCTAGTATGTCCGTTAATCGTACTACGCGTACTGGCGCAGTTGTGGAGAGGAGTATTGTATTTACATAGTCTGTGTATTCATTGATTAGTGTAGCATGAATACTGGTGTCTAACTGGTCAATGTCTTTCATCATTTCAAGATTATCCTTTAGTTGTATTTCTTTTCGATTGTACGGATCGGCACTGGTTATTGCTTCACACTGTTCGACATAGTTTTTAAGAGGAAATAACTAAATAAGAATACAACAGATTACGCGATCGAAAGTTTTCGTTCACAAAAGAATAATGATTCTTGTTCCGCGCTACTGATCCTACCCTCGTTTACGGTCTTCGCAAAGTAAAGTTTTTGTGATCTTCATATCCCCCTATTGACCCAAAACCTGTATTCTATCTAGTGACACCTATAACTTTCATGTTTTTCTGTTCTCAATTATGTCGCAATCTCTCACGTAGGGTTCAGATGTGATATTTGTTTTGAAGAAGAAAGTTCTCGAATATATCTATACAATCTGAGAGACCTGCAGAGAATTTTTTTAAGTACATAGTCCGTGATACTTCCCAGCAGTTGAAAGTGTGTGGTGCTTAGAAAAAAATCTTTTTTTAAGAAGGAAGATGTTCTCGAAGATGGCCTGAACTACTGAGAATGACCATCCAAGTATCTGTGAGGCTACCGTCACTGCTGATCATCGTGGAGAATATCGACAGATAAATAAAATATACAATTATATTAGATTTGACAAGAATGGTTTTAATGCACTAATTAACATCGGGTTTCATCTTTACTGTATGTACCAAAATAAATTTTACTTCAGACTGTTTCTGCCCTACTAGTGGTTCAGATGCTTTCTAGTGTTCAGAAAGCAATTTACTACTTGAAAACCCTTTCTTGTTACTCATTTATAGCGGACCCATATTTCAACGTGCGAGTATGATCACCTTATTAACAATAGTGTCAATACTAATCATTTCTTACATTAGTGTTTCTCAAATCTTCATTGAATTCTCTATATTCTTCTATTAATTTTAATACTTTGTACTGATCTAGTTGTATCGCTAAGACAGGCGTTCCACGGTCTTTGGCAGAAATATCACTTTTCAGCTGCTGCTCTAATACAAATATTAAAAGTGGTTCTGGCAACTAAAAATAGATAGTATTAAAATCATAACTATTTTCTGGCGAGCTACTTAGCATTCATCTTTCCACGATTCATCGAAAATTATAGCACAAACTCAGAGCACAAATGTCTGAATGAACGTTAACTTTTACTGTAAACCATCTCAACTACAAGTATATCAGATGAAACAGATTTTATTACTACTAACTGTATTTGAGAATAGATTGCTGTTTATTCGTCTTTAAATCAATGAAGTATTCTATGCTTTTCAGAAATAATTTTTAAGCGATTCCAGTTTTGTTTCCTTTCCGTAAGCAATACTGGAATGCGTGACTAGACGTACATTAAACTAAAGTGTTCTTCACTAAAGTCTCATCTCTCTCTCTCGAATATGAAGTTAAGAAGACGTATATATGGAAAAGAGATAGGATGCTTTATATCGATAAATGCAGAGGTATTACTGTTAATAGAATGTGCGTTCATTTCAGACAAATAGACCATCGCTGTCTAAATCACGTTGAGAGAGCCCCAGCGGATTTTATCTTTGCGCTCTTTTAGACGAAATGTGAACTATGATGGATTTATACTGTACTTGGACAGTCTGCGTTTTTTCAACTTCAACCCGTTTGTCCACACTGGCAAGATCATTTACAATTTCAAATCGTCGTCGATATCGTTGACGATAACGATCGATGTACTGTTGATTTATATCAGGCATGCATACAATTATCTCTAATAAATCGTCAATATTAATTAGATGATTATCAACTAAATAAAAATCACATTTCGCATCTTCTAATATGAATTATCGCAAATTTGTTCGAGCAAACGTATTAGTTTCCAGTCCCCTCGAACAAACCTAGGATGTAATTATTTGGAGTGTTTTCTATAGTTATTTATACCCAATTCATGTAGCATTGTTATTTGGTATAATCGAAGCTTCTCTGCTTTTTGATTTTGATAATTTCTTGATGTTATTGATAATGTTGGTTCAGGACCAGAAGTTGGTTGTGCGGCAGAAGGACAGTTCGATTTCGATGACTTTTTATGTTTTATGTTC